GGGGGGTGGTGGGGGGGGGGGAGGGAGAGAGGAGCAGGGTATGCTGGGATGTTAGAAGGAACCCTTGCATCCCCAGTCAATTGGTTGTGTGCAAGCATTTGTTCAAATGCTTGTACCCCAATCACTTAGCGCATCAAGTTCACCTGATATGGTGGAGATTTCCAACACTTCAATCATTTTTTAAACAGTCAAAGTGCTGTGAGCCCTTCTTTACAGAGCATCTCAACTGATGGAACTGCAAGTGGGGAGAGGAGGAGAGAGGAGGGGGCGTGTGCCCCTGGATCTGCGCAAGGTGGGGCGGGCTGCACGGGGTTCTTCTCAGCAGGGGCTGGTTTCCGAGCGGGTGTCAGCTGTGCTAGAATGATGCTGCATCCACCGCAAATGTCACCGCAGCTCTGCTCCCAGCACTGCCACCGCCAGCCCTCTGGCACTGCTCCGGCTCAATGCCCTGCCTCCATCCACCCACTGGGAAGACCAGGGCAGCACCAGTGGCTGGCGGCAGCAGCACTGTGACCTGAGCTGCAGCAAAATCTGGGGTGGATGCAGCATCCTCCCAGCACCCACTTCGAGCCCAGCCCCTGCCAAGAAGAGCCCCAAGCAGCCCCGGCTCCAGCCCGCCAACCCACCCTGCCCTGCACAGATCTGGGACCCCCGGGGTGCAAGCAGCGGTGGGAGCCCCCCCCCACTCCCATCCTAGCAACACCTGCCCATGCTCGTCCCCTTTCTCACTGCAGGAGGCGTTGTTCTGCCCCCTGCCCTACCACATTCCTTCCCTCCCCCTTCCCCTTCCCCCACAACAGACTGACTAGCTGGAGGCAGCTCTCCATGCTGCTGGGCTCTGCTCCTGTCTGCGCACAGCATGAGCATTTATCGGCCAAATTATTGGCCCCATTGGGCCAATATCCAATACAGCAAATTTTCTTTATATCAGTCCGATATCAGATTGGTACTGATATATCGGTGCACCTCTAACTGCGACAACAACAACAAAAGTTAATAGTGAGTTATGACCAAAAAAACTAAGGAGAAGGTTGTCTCTAAAGCCAGAGTGGGCAATTATTTCAGCTGCCAGGCCACTTAACAAGTTTTGGTGAGCCAAGGGCTGTGCTGGGGCTGCGCTTGGGGCAAGCAGTGGTGGTGCTGGGAGGGGGGTTACAGAGAATTTTGGGGTGACTGTAGCTCCCCCATAGCTCCCCCTCCCAGTGCCACTGCCACCCACCCCGAGCGTAGTCCCTGGCCGAGCCCGCCCTCACCTCACGCACAAATCAGGGGGTGCACGCAGCAGTGGGAAGCTGCCCCCTCCCTACCGCCTCATGCCCCCTGGGCAATCTGCCATCCTGTGGCTCTGTCCAGCAGCCTGCCCTGGCTGGGTAGTGTCTGCCCCTGCCCCAGACCCACTCCATCCCTCACTGTGGGGGCCTTGGTCTGCCCCTACCCCAACGCTCCTTTTTTCTCCACAGATTTACTGGCGGGATGCTGCTTTCCAAGCTGCAAGGCTGCATTCCTGGCCATGTGTATGCTGTGACTGCGCACACGCACACAGCATTTATCAGACACATTATCTGTTACATGGGCCAAAAAAGCTGATTGTCGATAATGTTGATTTTCCTTTATCGGTGCCGATCTGGTACAAACCAATATATTGGCGTATCTCTAACTTAAATTCTTCTTTGTGACTTTCAGTGCTTCCTAGAGCTCTATTCACATAGTTTAATTTTCCTTATTCACCATTAACAGCCTGTATTTCACTAATTCACTCTCCTTAAAGATAACCTGTAAAGAAGAAAAACACTGTGTACGTGTCCTTTTTTGATTCCTTGTGATGAAAGCCCGATGGCATCTCCCTGATGTCGATTTCAGGCTTGTTGGCCCACCTTTTAAAGCATCAAGATGCTCAGCTTTCTGCTCTTTTTCTGTTTTAAGAGTTCTTTGTTGGCTCATAATTATGCCTTTAGACCTCTCAACCTTTACTTGGTGGGGTGGAAGTACTGAATCTTTTTTCTGATGCATTTGATTTGGAAATGTAAACAAAAGTAACATTTTCAAGTTTAACTGGCCATCTCACTCACTTTCTACAGCAAAACACAACAAAAACACACAATCCCATTGTCTCCCATCAGGATTCTCTAACATATCTAGTCACACGCTTTACTGCCCTGCCTCCAGTCCCTGCAGTTTCCTCTTTAACTCAACGGTGGTTATCCTTTATCTTTATGCCCCTTCCAAAAACATCTATCAAAATGCCCCAATCAGCTTTGTACCAAGTACCTTAAAAGCCGAGGAAGACGTAAAGAAGAACGCTTAGCCCTCAGAAATGCATCTAAGTCTACCCCAACCGTGACGCTGGTCCGATACAAGATCCTGCACATAAGTCCCTGTTTCTCTTATTAAATATTCCTGAGCCTCACAACATCCCAGAGGGCTGCGCGGTCGTGTAACCACCGTTTCACAGACCAGTAAGGGAGACATCGGCGGGTCAAGCGATGTGTTTAAAGCAACAGACTTATTAGCAGAGGCCGGAAGTGAAACTAGACCCCGGACCGCAGCGCTCCGCCCCGCGGCCCCCGGAGCCAGGCCGGCGGCACCGACCGGTCCGGTCTCCCCCCGCATCCCCCGCACCTGTCCATGGTCTGCTGCAGCGCCGAGCCCACCGGCTCCGACATCCCC